GCTCTCAAAACGCCAAAAAGCGATCGCTCGTGCGCTCTCTAACCGACAAAACAGCGTTGCCATTTTGAGGAAATCGCAAAAAATAAAATAAAAATTAAAAGCAATTAGCGTAAAATATAGCAAGCCAAAAAAAGTAAAGTAAACAAATAATATATCTTGCTGTTTTGAAAATTGTGAATACACAACAAAGTAAACAAAAAATTTAAATTTGGGGTTAAATAATGCAGCAGTTCAGCAGTTTTCCACTCGAAAATATGTAGAATTGTTTACAAAAGTTAAGTTGCAGCCCATAGATAACTTCAAAGTTTTTTGGGGTTCATTCACTCTTCGACCTCAGCCATTCAACGCTGCTCGTGCGATTGTAATTACCATAAATCTATACAACTATAACAACGACAAAAAAATACATAAAATAAATACCTAGCCATGGAGGAATGTGAGCGACGTTTACAAAAATCTAAATTTGTGCTTTTTCACAACAACAACAACAACAGTGGCAGCAGCTACTACAACTGCCACTATGAAGTGCCATCAAAATTTAATTTATGGATTACATTTGGTGTCTGGCTTTTGCTCAGCCTCATCGGCAGCTGCTATTGTTCAGGTATGTGTGCGTGTGTACGTACGTCTGGGAGTATATTTGGCTCTGCTAGCCGGTGTAGTAAAGTGCCAAGGTTGCCTCAAACGGAAGATAGCGGCATTTCCGTAATTACTAGTGATTTAGCTCTGCAGAGCAGTTTTGGGGCATTCACTGACCTATGACAAAATTGTTTTTATTTAGAGGGGGAAGTACATATCCTCTGTATGTATGTATATTAGGGTGGTCAAAAAAAAGTAAAGTCGGAATTTTAATTCTCTCACCCCTAGGATTGCTCTATATCGAAAAAATATACCCATATTTTTTTATTTTGAAATCAAAAAATATTTAGAGGTCGCTCAAAGCGCTCAAAATTTTCCATGTATTTTATACGATAAAAAAACAACTTAGAAATGGTATGGAAGTTTTGAAAATCAATATTTTTCGATCGAAAAACTCTGGTTTTCTTCTGGAGACTTCCAATAATAATATCCAATTGTTTATTTAAACATTTATAAATACTAAATACTTTTTATTTATCCCCCATTGCATTTTCTGGAATTTTAAATAAATTTTTGGCGATGGTTAAATAAATAATTGGATTTGATTATTGGGAATCTCCTGAAGGGAAGCAGAGTTTTCCGATCGAAAGCTATTGTTTTTAAAGAACTCTATACCATTTCGACGAAAAGTTGTTTTCTTCCCATATAAAATATATGGAAAACTTTGAGCGCTTTGGGCGACCTCTAAATATTTTTTGATTTCAAAATAAAAAATAGGGGTATATTTTTTCGGTATAGAACAATCCTAGGGGGTGAGCGCAAACAAAATGTCCGACTTTGCTTTTTCACATGAATTTTGGACCGCCTTAATGTGCATATGTATGTATGTATGTAAATGTACATATTTACACACATATGTATGTACAAATGCAAATGAATACTTCTGCGTCTGTGGAAATTACAAGGTATGCGATACACGTGTGAAAAATATCAGGAAAAGTTATACGAAAATAAATCAATTGAAACAAATTGCTTGTGGAAAGGTTAAAAACTTTCTAAATACTTAGGCGGAAATGTATTTACCTTTACCTAATAAATCAGTGGCAATGATTCCAGCATTTGAATACCTATTTCTTAAGTTTCTTATGATACAAAAAAGAAGATATTTAGTTCCATTTAATGACATTCGTTGTTGTTGTTAACCACTTTGACTTTTAACAAAATTATGACATATCATCAAATTCATGCTACCTGATGACTAGAAGTAATATATTTTTTTTTTAAGCAGAAGATTTCACCAGTCCACTTAAAGATGTGGAATATGATGGACTTGAAAATTTTGCCGGCTATAAAATTTAAAAAATGGCGTTGATGAAACTAGATTTCAGAAGGCATGAAGAAAGTGATCAAACTTATACTTAGGTATATTAATTGTTTATCGGAGGGCATATATGTACATTGCAAATTTTAAATTCCAAATTTGTTGAAGTTAATGCTGATACGCTAACTACAAAGCCTACTTTTTTGCAAAATCTGAAGAGAAATTTGAAATTAAATTTGTACCAAAATATTATAAAAAGAATTTATTTGGGAAGAACATGCTTTAGAACAAGGCCGTATTTTGCCTTTTTTCAAGTTTTTTGTGCCTTAAAATCCTACATTGCAGACCTTTGAACTTTTGTAATTTATTTTATAAAAATATAGTTCATTCTTTAACAAAATCCGTGTAAATCCAAGTTTCCAAATTTGTACAATACTAAACAAAAATTCAACAAACTTTCGTACAAATTTCGACGATTTTACGATTTCTAAAAAATCAATCGAAAAATGATGTCCATTTCGATCTGTGACAGTAACTTTTTCCTACAGGGGAGAAAAACCAAGACCGTCTGGAGACGGGCTCGCCGATATACTTACACATATTTTCAGCTTTCTCTTACACAATGTTGACCTACGAACCGGCAATCCCGTCTGCAGATGGTCAAAAATGCAAACTGGGTTTTTATATCGTCCCGTTTCTGCCTTAACCACGTATCTACAATTTTTGGGAAAACTAATATTACCACTTATAACAGCTGTATAAGCGTCACACTATTTGAAAATAGAACTAAGACTTAATGAGGTTGCTCACTACTATTAGTGGAACCAGAAATATTAAGTATAAAATGCGTTTATTGTATCCTAGGGGAAGAAATTAAGCATTTTTTCTTACACTCTCTAAAATACCTCTATTGCAGATACGAGGTTAAGGCAGAAACGGGACGATATGTCGGCAAGCCGGTCTGTAGACGGTCTGTGTTCGAAAGCAATTTTCTCCATTTCGAATGGTGACATAATTATAAAACTTATATCAAAATACTGCCCTTTTAACTACGAAATCCACTGAATTTTATTGTATCAAAAAATGTTTCAAAAGAAAAAATTTCTTTAATTACGAAATTACTAAATAGCAAGAAATAATTAATTTTAACCATGTTTTCAAAATCTGTAATTCAACTGCCGATTAAAATAAAACGGATTGACATAACGGATTAAAATTTACACCGCCGTAAAGGTACGATTTTTGTCTAAAGATCGTGCCTTACGAATATAGAAAAAAATTATTATAGGTGCACTAAACAGGTGTTTAGTTAACGACCGTCTGGAGGCGGTTCAGCCTACTAGAGGGTTAACGAGCTGCCCTCATTGGTACAGTGAGCATAACGGCTAAGGTGGTTACTAAGTATGTGTATGTAAATAAAACTGTCCGAGTAGATTCGCTTGAAATATTTCAAAACCCTAGGCATTTGGAAAGTGGCCGCGGTACTATCAATTTACCATTTTTAGCCCAAACCTGCCTCATAATAAAAAGAGGTATTTAATCAAATATGCAGAAATAACCGTTCTTCTCCTATGCTGTGTAATAAAATCATAACAAAATCTGGGAAATCGGTTTCCGGAGGTAAATTTGCCTTGATTGCCACATTAAGGGTGGTTTTCTCAACTTTAAGTTTAAAGCTCGCTTTATATTTAAAGGTTGCATTAAAATTTATGATTGTGTCTAAAGTAAAGCATTTTATTAACGGTTTTAAATTGGTTTGCAACCAAGAAACATACATTCGTCAAAAACCGATAATGATCAGAAAACGGCCCTAAGTACTTACTTAAAATTTTTTCGCAATTAAAACAAGAAAACTATCACCAAGGAATGATAACCACTTTATCCTCTGGGCCTAATTTTAAAATTAGAACAGTTTTTTTATTTAATTTTTCAATCTGGTAGATAAACATAATTAAAAACTTTAAAGCGTTTTTTGAGTAACTTTTATTATTTTAAATAACGAGAGATGTACTGAGTTTTGTTTGCAATATTCATCTTTTTTGTGAGTTATCGTGTGCACCAAATGAGTGACGAAATAGACATTCTGACAGTCAATTTCATTCAAGCGTGTCTCCACTCTCTACGCCAATTTCAAAAAGTAATTCCATTGTAAAAATTTTATTTTCCATAGAACTCTTATATGTAGTTATGTAAAAAAAACACAAATACATAAAAAAAAGTGTGCCCATATACTATGTAGATATCCAACCCTTTGCCAAATCAACAGCCAGCTCAACAGGTGCTTTTGTGGTGGCCTCAACTTTGGCATTTGAAAAAGTTGAATGTCACTTACGGAACGCAGCGGTTAACTTGTTATGTGCAAGAGCAAATACATAAATGGAAAAGAAACCAACTGCTAAACAAATTCCGACCAAAAAATACAATTTCCTTAAATATTATCAATGCTGACAGCAGAGATACTCGAACTGACCCATTGACTCGTGCAGTTTTCCATCCTCGTTGATGATTAATAAACGATTTGGATTGCCTGAACTAAGTAATCGATTGATTGACAGTTGGTTGATATGGCTTGCCTATCAGCCACACAAGCACTTGCATTCATGCGTCATTTTGAGTTATATACTATTTATATAAACGCATTCATACAGTATATAAACAAATATGTATGTATGTATGTATGTATGTAGATGTCAATTACATACGGATGCCATTGCCGCATCGGTTCTCTTCCCAAATCCGGGTCAGCGCCATTTATTTGTGTGGTGCATATGTACACCAGTGATCGGACTTAAAAAAAATTTGTATGGTAGAATCTGGGAAAAAATGTGGTAGATTTCAAAAAATTTGCCAGATCTCAGGTTTTGGAAAAACTTTGTACAAAAATTAAAAACTTCTGCAAGGTTTCACCTAAAATGCAAACATTTTAATTAGAATCTACAAAAAATAATAGTTTTAGTATAATAAAATGCAAAAGTTTGCTAAAAATTGCGTTGAGTTTTGGCAATTTTTTTCCTTGGCAGTGTAAAGCAGTTTCTTCCACATCAGGATATTTTTCGAACATATTTTAGGAGACTTCTGAAACCTTGCGGAGTGCTGCCAGCATTTCTTTTTATCACATCACGATGTAGCTAACAAATGTAGCACGTTCCAGAAACCGCTACTTGGGATTTGCCGATTTTGACAATTCTCAAGTCAAAGTAAACAACGCCTTAGAAACTTTAGATGTACTGAAATTTGCCAATACAGTATATTTTGCTTAGCTGCACATCCTTCTTTGCACGAAAAACTTGTGCACGTAACCGAAAAAGGCACTTCAGCGAATTTTCTTTACTACTTCAATGAGGAAGGTATCCGAATCCCTATGAAACCAAATATTGGCGGAGCACTTACCATGTAGAAATTACTGCAAGCGAAATTTTTACCGAATGTTATCTAATTATCTATATAACTACATAAATTTATAGCCATTTTCGTTGTTCTGCGAGATGAGCAAAATAAATAAAAGGTTGTAAAATTAGGAAATTGTAGGGCCAGTGCAGGTAAACGTAATACTTTCTTTGATAATTGATACTAGTCGCACAATTTTTAAGGCAGGTATCGCCAATGTGCAGGTATGTTGAATGCATCTATCGGAGCAGTTTCCTTATAAATGTTAAAAATAATGCCTTTGATGCGCATTTTGGGGTAGGTATCTTAAATGTGCA